AAAAAAAAAAAAAAAAAAAAAAAAAAAAAAAAACGATGCCAAGAGACTTGAAGAGAGCCATTGTTGTTTCTTTTCCTGTTGGAACAAGTGCGACCAGGGCACGTTTGAGTTTGTACAGGCAAAAAAAAACTCATGAGGGCAAAAAGAACAGCCGCCGAAGCAGCTGAGGCCCTGAGGGCCCATTTTACTCCAAATAGATCCATTGGGCCTTTTTCTCCCCCCCTGATAACTGGGGTGCAGTCAGGGTTTCAGTTTGAAAATGCGCTTTCCGTCACTGTGAAACCCCCCCCTCCGCCACACAGCACTGTCGAAGTGAAGGGCTCGCGAATTCAAGTGCAGAAGAGACAAACCCGCATGAGTATAGGACAAGCATTTCTCCAGCCCGACCACAGTCCCGCTCAACAATCTTCGAAGAGAACTCGATAGGTCGGCGGTGGACTGTCGAAAATGCCTATGTTGCAGGCGGGCGAGACCTTGAATTCGAAAGGAGCCGTCGAACGCCGACTTCTGACAGGTGTCGAAGATGTGTCGACATTTTTTTGTTTGACAGGTGGTGTGGCGACTCGGACTGTCGAAAATTGCACTTTCGACAGGTAGTGTGGCGAGCCCCTTACAAACCTGGCGCGTGCCAAGCCAAGAAGACTCACACTGCCACACCGGCCCACACGGATATGCATGGCAAACAGCTACAGCCTACAGCAACTCCTACCTCTTAAGTCATCCTGGGCTGCCTGATGTACTAAGAACTTACCCCACCTGGGCCACCTCTACAAAAAGCTGGGCTGAAAAAAAAAAAACAAAAAAAAAACTCACCCTCGCAGGTAAGCCGTAAGCCGTAAAAAAAAAAAAAAAGGATACAGTTGAATGGGTCGATAAACCTCTCAGGTCCAGAGCTTTGCCGAAAAGGGGCCTAGACTGAGGGCCTCGCCACACCAGTGTCGAAAGTGTGAAATCTTCGCCAACTGGCAGACCATTTTGGACATGATTCACGGTTTGGCCACAAAGGAGGCCGCCTTCGCCACACCCTATGTCGAAGACCCAGGATAAGCAAAGTTTCGTTGTTAGAAAAGGTAAGAAAAAAAACAAAAAGAAGAAGAAGAAGAAAAACAACAAAAACAAGAAGAAGAAGAAGAAGAAGAAGAAGAAGAAGAAGAAGAAGAAGAAGAAGACATGGGTTGTTGAGGCCGCGCCAGGACCCGGACCGTGATAGATGTCGAAAGAAATCGGCACATCCATTCTACACCCATGTAGAAACGAAAAACACTTTCGCTGAGGATAGTCCAAGTGTCTGTTTTGGACATTTTTTCTTTTCCTTCGACAGAAAAAATGTCGAAAACTCCAGTTTCGAGGCTGGAGGCCCTGAGTGTGAATAATACTAAATATGCCCTCAGCCGTCCAGATTACGCATCTTGACGGCGGCTGACAATCCACAGCAGCCGACGGTTAAACGACCAGTGGCCCAGGGGCTCTAGGCCCCCTTTGACGCAAATGCATATAGACCCACGCGGCGCACAGATTCAGCTTGACCTCCATGTTAACGCCTAAAAACGCCGTAGGTACTGGTGGTTTTAAGCTTTTGTTCGAACCACTGTGCTACCTTCTTCCCCCGAATACAACGTGCGGTAATTATGGCTGTATCTAGACAGAGAGATGCGTCAAATACAGCTATAATGACCGTACTTTGTATTCGGGGGAAGTAGGTAGCCGTTCGACTCACAAATAGAACCCACGGTCCTTTGAGCAAAGTTTCCGTCTCCATGCAGGCATAATCTCCATGTGTTCTATTCGGGGTCAGACCGCGGCCCTTCCCCGCAACCCACAGTAGTGAATGCAATGCAAATAGAGTGCAATGTGCATGTGTTTCACCTTTCTGGCCAAGTGCATAGGGTTTGAAGAAATTGAAGATGAGCTTGGACTTTGGAGATGGATGGCTACCCGGGGCCAAGTCCCACTTTCGCCGATTCTTCATTTCTGGCCGTTGATCGTCATAATCTAAGATGACTTCGCTGTTTTAAGTTTTGAAAACCTTGAGATGAATTGACTTCACAGCAGGCAATGGGTGATGCTGTTTGACTGCCGGCTATGCATGTGTGGTTCTTTGACTGCCGGCTATGCATGTGCGGTTCATATGTATTCTCTTCATAATCTAAGGTCAGCAATTGAGAAATTCGGGGTACCAAGTGGGACTTGGTGGGACTTGGCCCTCGATGGGGTCTGAAGATGGATGGCTAAAGCATCCGGGGGCTCAGCGCACCCGAAGGCACTCCGGCACGTAAATTACCCAACCCTGAATTATAGGGGGCTAAGGGAGGTGGGGGGGGGGGGGGGGGGGGGGGGGGGGGGGGGGGGGGGATGGAAGAAGATGGATTTGGAACACGTGGTTGAGCTTTCACCTGAACATTCACTGACATGAGTTCTCTCCTCGTTGTCTTGTCTGTGTTGTTGTTGTGGTTCTTGTTGCTGTTGCCTGTGCTTCCTTATCTCTTTCCCCTCCTTT